TTTTTCTTTATTTTTTTTTTTATATTTATGTTTGTATATGTATATTTATATACTATGCGTAGAAGTTTATGCAATTTGTAAATTATAAATATTATATATTTCATTGTCAAAGATGACGTCATAGATCAAATTTGTAAATTATAAATATTATATATTTCATTGTCAAAGATGACGTCATAGATATAACTAAAATTTACATTTTATTAGGGTATTTTGGTTAGCGTTATTTTGGTTAGGCATTTTATGCTAAATTAAAACTTTTAAATATCTTATTATAAATATATACATTTAATTTAATAATTAAATAATAATTTATTATGTGATATATATTATATAACAATATATTATTAAAATAATATTGTAAATAATATTATTTTATATATATATATAATTTTATATTTTATTATTTTATTTATATATTTTATATATAATTAAAATAATATTATAAATAATAATATATTATAATATATATTATATAATATATTAACCTCTTAAGGAACAATTTTGGCACAACGTAATACATCGCCGCTCGAGTTAACTCGAGCGTGCAACTTTGGAGGTTAATTATTAATAATAAACAATTAATAAATAATTTTAATTTTATATTTAGGTGAGTATGAGTGTATTGTATATAGCATGGATTACTGAATTTAGTTTAAATAACATTCTTACATACAAGAATATTTTTGAGCTTGAATATTTGTGAAAATACTCAACAATACAATTTCCTGTAATTTTCTGTTATGTTTTAGATTGTTTTCTTTGTTTTATCTGCTATACTCGATATTTTCCTTGTCGAAGGCTATGGTCAGGTAACCCAATATAGGTTTATTACTTATGGTTAATCTAAGGGACCGGTTGATAAACATGTTCCAGACTCACGTAGTATCGTTCACAAACAAAAGGTTCACATAACCTAAAATAAACATTCTGAAATCTCGTGTTTACTATCTGTTAAAGTTTCCATGATTATATCTTAATATTGGAAGTTATATTAATTCTTTGTTTAAATATATTTATGCAGTTTTACATGCATATTACATTTTATATTTAATTAAAGTTTCATAGAATGTAATTTTGCATGTATGTGTGCATTATCTAAATTTCCAATTTTAAAATAAATGGAGGATGTATAACACATATGTTCTTTTTATACATTTCATCGTGTATTTGTTTAAATTATTATAGCTTATTTTATAGCTAATATTTCGGAAAATTAAGTAATACTTTTTATCAAAAAAAGAAAAAGAAAAATAAATCTTCATCTGAATGGAACATAAATTGTAGGAGTTATAAAAACGAATTATTGTATAAACATATAAATCAAGATTCTTTTATCAACAAGTCATTTTATGTCATTTCTAAGTTCATTCATCTTATAGGTTATGTATTTTCATTAATTAAAATAAGCTTTCTTGAAACAAACTTTTTCGATTATCTAATATTATTATAATAAATAATATTTTATATTATACATATATTAGAATATCAGATTACCAAGAAAGTTCACGGTGTTTTAATCAATAAAGATACTAAAAAACAATTTGACAAATGACAAACGAACATAGGAACTTCTCAAATTTTCCTGGGTTCCTGATAATTATAATAATAATAAAATTTTTTAAATTATTATTACAATATTAACAAATTTTTAAATTTTTAATTTTATCAATTTTACTAAATTTTTAATATTTTACTAACAACTTTGATTCAACTATAAATATAGTAAAATATATTAATTTTTTGCATGTTAAGGTTGATCAACAATATCTATGTGCATTTGTGTGTGTGTTTAAGTTAAACTCTCATCCAAGCGTTGAATTTTTTTATCGTTTAATTGCCACATAGAATTTTTACATAAAAAATAATAATAGTATACTTGAGTACATAAATCTTAAAATGACAGCAAAAATAGATTTAAATACCATGATGAACTAATTATAGATTTGAAACGTTTGGATTCTCTTTACAAGCGCGGTAAATTCAAATGAAGACGTTCCAACACGATACTAAAATAAAACGATAATTTTTTTCTGTTTGTTTTGTTTTTCTTTTTTTTTTTTTCTTCTTTAATATTACTCATGGTGTACTACAACCATTAGTCTCGAAAGTATGCTGTTTGCGTCGCGTTAAGAGAGAAATAAATTCTACAGGACGACGTCGTGGAACGTTTGATCTGCTTTTTCAGCTCCCCCAAGGTCTCTTCTCAAAACACGGCGTGGGGTCCAATACATACATGAGCTATCATTAAAGACGCTACGTTTTCAGTTCGAAAAGATTTTTCTCTTTTATTCGTTCCATCATTTTTTCTCATTCGTTCATTGGGTTCATTTTTATATATCATGGTTGTCCAATTTCTCCGATAGTTTAAATTTCTTATCAAATAAAAATTATTCATTCAAAAGTTTACACGTTAAACAAAACAAGGATATAAAATCTGAATAAATAGGATCCACAAAGTATTTGGTATGTTTTATAAATGTTTTAGGAATCAAAGGAACTAATTGTGAGACCAGATTATGGTTCACGAGTCACAGTTTGTCCAGCACTCTTAGATTTCGATCATGGTCTTAGTGTTTTATCAGTAACGGGTTGGACAAGTAAAAGTCGACTTTCTTTACTGTCGACCCAGTCACATTCGTGAGACACGCGAACACAGAAGACTTAAATTTATAACTGTGCCCTTATACAAACAGCTAGCAAGTCATAAACACGAAATAATAATAAACCATGGTCGGTGTGTAACTTAAAACATTTTTTTTTCTTTCTTTTTTGAGAGCATAACGAAACTTATTAGCTTTATTATTCTTCTTTTTTATGTATTATCCAATAACGAAACATTTCTATTCATAATTACGTCTAGTTTATGTTATTAATATTCAATTGAGAATTGATACATGTTTATATTCACACGTGGGATCAAAAAGATTCAAATTATTTCTATTTCTGCTAAACAAATGTTTTATAAAATGTGTCGAAAATTAATCAGACGTCTTTTCAAACAATCTTAAGCGAATGACTAATATACGACTATGAATAATACAGATTTATACGTACCGCCATTAATGTCTCATCTATCGAAACATTTTACCCCCTTTTTATGTGTTTATTCAAATGAACTCTGTGTGTGTAAAATCGATTAAACACACTTGTCGATTCTTTCTTTTTTCTACACTCCAATAAACCGAAATTAACCGAATTTTTAGGTAATGCTTTTCACTTTTGATAATTTGGAATTACTTCATATGAACTATTAGTGTACCTTTTGAAGATAAGATGTTCGATAAAAAAAATTAGGTGATTTTATTTTTCCCACCCCAATAAAAATTCAAAACTAACCAAATTTTTAGGTACTGTCCCTTCATGTCTAATAATTTCGTTTAATTTTAAATTATTATTATAATTCTTGAAGATAATAAATCGCATAAGATAATGGAAACTGGACGAGTCTTTGATCCCCAATCCAATTTCCCAATCCCATAATCAAATTAAACAAATTTTTAATTATTATTGTTTCACTTCTGATAATTTCATTTAATTAGAAATTACTTCATATGAGCTATTAGTATATTTCTTGAAGATAAATCGCGTAAGACGCTCGATAACGGAAACTGGGCGAGTCTCTTTGTCGACTGAACAAAGTTGGTGGGTGCCAGGCGAGTTTCTAAAATAGTTCGCTGCGGTTTCGGCACGCGGCAGCTCCGAATACGTTGCCACGCGGGCTCTGTCTATTTGTAGGTGACCGCTGTACACAAACTAACTAAACCCAGACCTGCCAAACTCACCAAATTTCATTTCCTATTGGTTTCTGATCTCCAGAGTATACAACCGACTCTAATGTAAGTCGATATTCTAGTGAGACACTGCTTTTATCGAACCAAATCAAATTCTACTTTGTCATTTATAGTTTTGGTGTCTCAAATACATGGTCAAGTATATAGCGATAATTTTTTGTAGAGAAAATTATTATTATTTGTTATTGTTAATAGATGCACAAATTTCTCTCTTAAATTTCAAAATATTGGATTTTGTTTTGACTAACAATAAGAATAATTATTTAAAGTATATAATGCATTTTTCGGCTTCCTAACTTAAGTTTTCCTCTTAAGTTAATGTGACAACAAATCTTCTTATATTAATAATTAAAATTTGGTAGTAAATATTTTTCATTTTTTTTTTATATTAATTTATATATTATACATTTATTTATACCCTAACCGATCAAATAACCGAACCTTAACAAAATTGATTAATTTATTAAATTTTTGTTGCATTAAGTGTTATCATTTTGATATTAGGTTAAAATAAATAAAATAAAATAAAATTTGTTGTATAAAAATAATTATAGTAATAATTGTTGTAAAATTGAATAAAAGAAAGCAATTGAACGTAAAATTTTCAATTATAATTTAAAACCGGTGATTTGAATCACCGCGAATGCAATTAGTGCTATATTAAATTTGGTGGTCTCTGTGTTCATATATTGGAACTTGCCATCATTTTGGTTCACTCGATCATTAATCTTTCCGTATATTAAATGCACGATTTCACTTGAAATTTAGTTATACATAACTGTGGCGTCAAATGAAATAATTAATGCATGAATCAATGTTGTTAGCAGGAACAACAAAATACAAAAATCTCTTCATTAGAATATTACAATTTAGTTTGAACTATTTATGAGATTTATTATGTATGACACTGTACACAACATAGTTATTGGACTACTAAATTTAAATTTTTAAATTGACAGGAACTTTGATAAAATTATTATAAATCAAATCCAACATCATAGCAACGGAAATTAGAAAATCATAAATATGGTATTTGATGTCAATATAAATCTTGATTTATTCTTACATAAAATTTGAAATCGATTTTAATAATAGTTAAAAAAATGAATTTTAAAAATCCAAATCATTCTTGTAAGACAAATGACATTTATTCTTAGATTAGAGGATAGCAAATGTTTATTCATTCTAATTTAAAATCTTTCTTACCTTGTTCAACCTCGGCGTTAATATGAATGGTTCTCAATCTGAGTTCTTCGTTCTCGTAAATCATCCCCCTAGAGGACTTCCGGTCGAGTTTTCTATTTGGTTTCACACTGACGTCCCGCCTTCTTGCTCTGAGCATCCCAACACCACCGACACCGGCACCCGCCATCATGTTGCTCTCGTTTATTTCTTCTTCGAATTCTACTGTTTCGAGATTTGACACTTTTAGTAGTCCTTTCTTAACGATTGTTTTTGTCTTCTTCGAAGAATCAAATATGCCTGATTTTTTTCCACTTGCTACTCCTTTTCCATGGAAATTTTTCACCTTCGAGGATTTCGTATTAAAAATACGAAACCTCGAAGACGTTGCGTGTACTGTGTTCTTCTTCGTTGCTGACAACAAATTTTGAAGATCAAAAATATAATAATTTATAATATATTTAGTTGTAACATTTATCTGTCTTGTTTTCTTTATTTGGAAAAATATAAAAACAAAAGGGAACAAAAATTTGAGTGTTTTTTTCAAATACAGAAAACAGGATAAATTTATGTTAAGAAACCAATATTTATATGAAATATATTAATATAATAATATTCTATGTTCGTATATACTAAAAAATACAATTAGGGTTTATTTACACTCATTTATACATTAAGTAGTCCATAAATAAGTTGATATTGGTAATTATTCACCACTGCATTGACTAACACAGTAGCCACTTGACTGGAGTAGTAGCTGTTTGAAGTTATGTTGCTGCTAGTAATTAGTAGTCGACATAAAGTCCTTTTAGAGTTGAATTAAAAAAAATGAAGAAAATGTTTTCTATATTACCGAATGTTTTTAAATAAATTCTATTTACAATAATATTAATAATAATTTTCTTATCTCACCACCATATGTGAATACGAACCACCATATATACCATATACTTTTATATATTATATGTATCATATAAAATATTAATATATTATATAAATTTAATATATTTCATTTATATAGAATATTTATATCATATATATATTAAATATATTTCCTTAATAAATCACATATACTAAAGAAAAAAGATTAAAAAAAAATATTAAGAGAGTAAAGTAAAAATGTCAAGGGTAGGTTGGTAAAAACTCGTCCTTTTTAAAGTCATGCACTTTTACCCAGCCTTCATTTCCTACTTGTTCCTCTTTCTCTCTCTCACCCTGTTTATATCCATACTTGTGTGCATGTGTGTGTATATATGCGTTTCTCGCTTAAAAGCCAGCTCAGGGAATAGAAAGAGAGACCTTCGTATTCCTCGAGTAAGTTTTTTAATGCCATCGTAATCGCTCACGCGATTTTTCCTAACCTCTCGGCTTTTTTACGATTACTTTTCGTTTTTAACGACCAAAAACCCCTACGATTTTCCAGTTGTTTCGAGTAGATAAAAAAAAAAAATTAAAAAAAAAAATAAAACTAAATTCTGGCACAGACATATTTTACAAAAATTGTTCACGACAGATTCGAACTGGCCAATCGAAGTAATCTAATCGAAATTATCGATTTTACGAAAAATTTTTAAACGAAATTACCCTCTCATTCGTTCGTTTGGGAGTATATGGAGTGAGGTTGGTAGGACTAGGAGGTGGTTAGTGATGGTGTAAATCGTTCGAAAAGGATTCTTCATTTTTCATTGGTCGCGCCAACGTAATTTGCGTTCCATTACTCAGCGTTTATCAGAAAAAGCTCGAAATCAACCCTGCACTTTCTTTTCATCCCTTTTTCTCTCTTACATTTCTCCTATTTTATTCCATTTTTTCTTTTTCATTTTCTTTTTTTTTTTTTTAAATCTTGTACACTCATCCTTCTCATTGCCAGTTCTTTTTCTATAATTTAGATTTTGCTTGATTTACGAGGGTGAGTGTAAATAAACCCTAACTACGTATTTCTTTCTTTTTATCATCATTCCCGCCCCATTCCCCTACTTTCTGTCCCACCCTTCTGATATTTTTTCTTTTTCATCCTTACTTCGTTGTAATTTATCCCGCAGGTTGAGAAGAATTTATCTCTTTGGAATGGATGGATTTTCTACGATCCATCTTCTTCTTCTTCTTTTTTTTATTTTTTATTTTCTAAAGTTTCTTCCCTTTTCGCATGAGCACAGTTAGCAGAGGAATCAAGCGGTCTAGTCGTCGTCGTTGGTGGACTCTTGAAAACCACCTCATGTCTCCTCGTCATCCACTTTCTCGTGCTAGTGTTGGTATTGTGTTTGTCGGTGACATAGTCATCGTTATAGTAGTCGTTGTAGTAGTCGTCTGATACGATGGTGCATTCATTATCCTCTTGAGAGATTTAAAGCCGACGATGTGTCTTCGACATGTAACCGTGACACTGTAATATTTAATGATACAAGTCGTTTAAAGACATATCAAAACATTTTTTTCTATTTTGTTATCATTTGGAATGTAAATCAATGTATACTCACGTGTATTGTTTCTATCTTCTTCTAATCATATTTGAATGTCTGAAATAAACAATAATAATCTTTAATAGTTGGTCAAATATTGAAAGGGGATGTTTTAATAGAACAAAAGTGTACATGAAAAAAAAGAAAATAAAAATGTGAGATGAGAAAACTTTAAGATAAATTTTTAAAAAAGAAAAAAAGAGAGAGAGAGAGAGAGAAAGATAAAACTAATTTTGTTCTAATAATTATATCATCATTATAATATTATTAATAATATTCTCTTTTTATTATCATTATTGTAATATTGTTATTATTAAATTATCCTATCATCGTACTACTCCAATTACCATCATATTGTAACTATTTTTATTATAACTATTGTTATTATAATTATTATAATATCATCAATTAATATTTTACTTTTATCACCGTTATAATAATATTGCTAGGTATTGTTTTAATTATAATAATAATAATAATAATAATTATTATTATTATTATTATTATATTAGCATTATCATCATCATTACAGTAATATAATAAGCATTATTTAACTCTTGTCACCATCATAAATAGTAATAATTGTATTATTTTTATCTCAATTATCATAATTATCGTAATCATTGCAAATATTATTACAAAACTGTTAAACTTAAATATTGATGTAACTATTCTAAAATATATTTTGCTAATAAGTTCATTTCATATTTGAAATTAAAAGAAATATAATCTTTAGTAAAACATCGAAAGGGATGAGAGAAAATACAAAAGTGTACTTGAAAGGAAAGAAAAGAAGGGGATGTAAAACAAGAAAGAAAGCTTAAAAGATAGATTTTAAAGAGAGAAAAGGCCATGGTTCTTGTCGATGAGTACAAGGACACGGTGTTTGGCCGCTTGTGTACCAAGTAAATGCATAGAATAGCAAAACATGTCGCTTGTGGAAAGCAAGCGTAGGTAAATCCGTACTTTGAAAAGCGTTTTTGCTCTCTCAGTCTTTCTCTTTTTTTTTTCTCTTATGTTAGTCTGTGAAATGACATCAAAGGGCGTACAGAAGCTCATACAGAGGCGCGACGCTGAACTTGGTGAAAGTCGAAGTATTGTGTTGGTGTAGGAAGTGTTGTTTGTATGGGAGTGCAGATTTAACAGTTTAGAGATGGTAGTTGGGAGTGTTGTTGGGGTGTACGTTTGGGTGGTTTTAGGGGGTCAGAGGATTTTTTAGGGGATTTCAAAAAGGGTGGATATCTACCAAAAAGCTAAATCATAAAACCAGATACGTTCATCCTACATTTTCCGTGAAGTATGGCAGCTTACTCCGAGCATCCTTCGTCGCGTGGATTCATCCAATCGAATACGAACAGAGGACATAGAGCTTTGACAATGAGCGAGAGTAATTGATTAACAAACAACCGTAGAGACCTTCCAAAGCTTTTCCTAGCTTTTCAAACCTTTCATCTAACTTTTTCGCCCTTTGTCCTTGTCTCTTTCATTTTATTATTTTTTTTTTTAGCTATCTTTCTCTTTTTTGATCATTCAACAGAGTGGAATGGATTGGAACGAATTTTTTTTCATTATTTTGCTTGATTTTCAAAGTTGTGTGTGTTTGTATGTGTACGTTTTTTTGTTTTTCTTTTATGAAACCATTCAATATTTCTACACAATTTGTATTTCTTTATTGTTACCAATTGTAAGTCAAATAGAAAAGAAATGGTTGTATAGTTTATAAAAATTAAATTAAATTAATAAAATAGTTGACAATTAGTTGCTTTTGAATTAATTTCCAAATAATAAAGAGGAATTGTTTTTATAAAAAAAAAAGATATTTTCAATAAATAATTTTCAAACCAAGATATTATTATTGATCTACATAAAATAAAAATTAAATATTAACTTTTGCTGTAACCTTTTATCGCAAAAATTAATCTAATTAGCGTATCAAGGTTTCAAGTAAAAAATTTGTATCAGCTTTAAATAACGAATCGGATTTTAGCTTAAAATATAAAACAGGGCTGAAAGGTGGAGGTTTAAATAATCACCCTTTTTTTTCTTTAGGGTATATATATATATCTACGCATCTATAATTCTTTCACTCGTTAGCGTACATTGAAAGAAACACACATACACACATACACACATAACACGTTGAGAAAAAAGTATACGAAAAATGATTGCGTTTTTGTTAATAATTTCGTTTAAAATGCGCACAGACGTTGCATTGCATAATCAGAATGATTTTGTATCCTTTTTTATTATTATATTTTATTTTTATTCTTTCCTTTCTTCTCTCTTTAAATTTTATTTTATTTTATTTTTTATTTTACTTTACTTTTTTATTCCTCCCCCCCCCCTCCCATTCTTTTATCTTTCCATTCTTTTCCTGCCATTTTTACGCAAATACTACGATACGCGAGATGGTACAACCTACTCCCAACTTGTATCCTTTTATTTTTTATTTTCAGGAAACCCCCAAAGTCCGTCCCGTTCTTTTTCTTCTTTATCCCTTCATCTCCCTCTCATATTTAGCAAAAGCGAACACTTTTTGTCTACCTGCTTGGATATAAAAAAAGCATTATAAGTTTCCTTTTATTTTCTTCTTTGTCCCACGTATATCTAAAGGAAAGAACGTAATGATACAAAAAAATGTCTATGTGAGTGATTTTTAAAATTGATTCCTTAAAATGATCTTTAATATTTTTAATGCTTTGAAGAAACTATATGTTGTTTTAACAATCTTTCATTGAATATCGGGTTATATTGTATTACGTTAAACATTTATTTATTTTTATTTTATAGTGTAATGATTTAATTAATATTTAATTATAGTGTATATATTGTATATACAATATAAAAATTTAGAAAACAAAATGTCTTAAATGATTTTCTGAAAGAAAATTTTTAAAATATAAATGATTACAAGCGTGATATAAATAAAATAGTTTATTTTTTATATTCCCATATGTATTCTCACCCTTAAATTTAAATTGTAGTACTCTGGAGTACTCAGTGTTATGTTCTACTAAACGTCATACCTTCCCTTTTACTATTATTGCCATTACTTAGACTACCATCATACTCACTACTATTATTATTATTATTATTATTATTATTGCAAACATTATCATGGTGTTGTCATCATCATATGTTCTATTTCATTTTACTACTATTACTCCCACCTTTTACTACTATTACTGTTACTAATGTAAGACTAGTATTATGCTTACTATTATTATATTATTATTATCATTAATATCGTATTATCACCATAATTACAATCATACTATTATTTTATATTTTAATTACTCACTTTTCGTGAATTCATATTTTAATTAATTATATTTCTTAAAATAACTAGTTAAAGTGTATAATAAAATTCTTCTTATATACTTTTCTTGTGAGACTTTGTTATTTTATGTAAGATTTAGATTTTTCATTAATTAATTAATTTATATAATTTAACGGTAGCATATACATTATATTTTATGTATAATATTATATAAATTTAAAGTTTTTGATTATAAAATTTAGAACAATATTTTAAATATTCTATGTATGGTATATCTAGACGAATATATAATATTATTTATATAATTATTATATTAATATTATATAAATATGTATTATAATACTATTTATTTATATTATATATTATATAAATATATTTAACATTAACACATATATTCGCGTGAAGTTATTCAATAAAAAAAAAAAAAATAAATAATTGAATAACAAATATCCATATCGGTGTACTCATTGTCAGTATGCTGAATGTTGATGTTGGTGGTGGTGTACAGTTGCTGTTGCTTTTGCTTTTACTGTGGTCCATCGAATTTTAACGATTTCCGTTTCTCGTCGCGTTCTCGACGGATTAGCGTATGGCCTGTACCAAACGTATTACGTCGTTTCGGATTAACGTCGGAGGGTGAACCAGACGGGAGGACGAGGGTTGCCGTGTCGATACGAGATTTTCACGATCGTTCGATAGAGAAACAGAAAAGGAAAAAGAAAGAGAGAGAGAGAGAGARCTTTGAGGTGAGGAGCTGTGGGAAGGGGAGGAGAGTTGTGCGCATTTCCCATCTCTAAACGTGACGCCTAAACTTATTTTCCTCGTTTACGGATCGACCAGATTCGATTATTTTCATACGCATTTACCGATTTTCCTATATTTCATGCTACCAAGAAAAAGGATTTAAAGAAAATTCAAATATTCAATCTTTTTATTTATAGAATACTTTTTAGTTTCAATTATTTAGAAATTTCTTTTTTTGGAAAAATCAGAAAATGTAATTTTCAGGTGTTTGTATGAAGAACATTGTAGGTTTCTTTTAATTACTATGATTAATTTCAAGCAAGAGAAAGAGAGAAAGCGAGAAGAATGAGAGAGAGATTGAAAATAAAATCTGATCGTTTTGATTTGAAACTTTGTATCCCATTTTACAAAATTATTTTGGAAGAATGAAGGAAAAAATTTTTATTTAAATCTAAATGATGGAAACGGGTAGAAAAAAATTAAGAAATTAACTAACAAAAATTAATAATCCATAACAAATAGAAAATAAATTATTATTAAAATTAAAAGAAAAAGATAATATAATATAATATGAAATATATAATAAATATATAAATATATAATATAAATATAATAAATAAAATTGTATTTTCAATTATTATTATATTGTCATTTATAAATATAAATTATTTATTAATCTTAATAAACATATTATAATATATTTGAAATATTATAAAGTTAAAAAATAATACTTCATTTTTACGGTATTACAGTATAGTAAAAATTCAGACCTCATTATACCATTGATTAATTTTAATTATTCAATCTATATAATTATTTATGATTAACTACATATGTTTATCAAGCTTATTAAATGATAAATCGTCCAAAACGCTAACTGGAATGATTTTGGTTGATAAATAATCGATGAATTCGAAATAATCGAATCATAAATTTGATTATATTATAATGATCATATATTTTTGGCAGTAAACTGTATGTAGGTGTTAAAATTGTAGTAGATAACCACAACAAAAGATCTTATTGATCTCTA